TACTATTGACATTAAAGTGCATTATACGAAATGTTCTAATTCTTTTTTTTTTTATTTTTTTATCCTCACCCGAGGACATTTTTCCATTTTTTGTTCAGGTAGAGTGGGAGGGAGAGAGAGGAACAGAGAGAGAGAGAGAAACATCGATGTGAAAGGGACACATCGAGTGGTTGCCACCCGCACAACAGACCAGGGCCGGGGACAAACTGCAACCAAGGTATGTGCCCTTAGGGGGAACCGAACCCGGGTCTCTCAGGACCGCAGGCCGATGCTCTAACCGCTGAGCCAAACCGGCCAGGGCTCTAATTCTTTTTGACCCACCAAATTTGTAGTTAAAACTTGACTCAGCACACTTTGTGAATGTTCTTGTGTTGAATTATATTAGTTTTTTATTTTAAAAGTTAGGTTTTCTCTTCTTTCAGAGTGTCAATCTTTTAATATTATTTTTCTTTCTATAAATTGAACCATTAGATTCATGATTTAGGATCAAAATTTACAATTACACTATTTAAGTGATCTTTGTGTTCTTCTTACATGTTTAAGATCTTCCTTTTTTCCTAATTCAAACCTACTTTTTACAAAACTTTCTTTTGCATATTTTGGATTACAATGCAGATGATTTTTGTTTTTTCCCCTTCAAGGTACATATTCCTATGGTAGTATTGTAATCACTATTGCATACATTTTCTTTGTCAGATTCCTGTTAATTTTATTAATAGGAGTATGTTTTTTTTTTTATTATAGATTCTAAAGCTAAGTATTGCAAGTAGGCCCTCAAGTTCTATTGTTTTAAAGTTTATCTTCTTTTCATCTTATATGTGAGTGTCAGCAAATTCTGTGTAATTAACCTAATAGTTTAAGACAAAATGGAATTATATCTTGAGATTACTGAATATTTTTCTTTCAGCTTTGTTTATTGCACTTAGTGAACATACATAAAATGTTTATACTGTTGCCCTGGCTGGTTTGGTGCAGTGGTTAGAGCATTGGTCCTCGGGTCAAAGAGTCACAAGTTTGATTCTGGACAAGGGCACATACCTTGGTTGCGATGTGTTCCCCGGCTCTGGTGGTATGGGAGACAACCAGTTGATGTGTCTCTCTCACATCTATGTTTCTCTCTCTCCCTCTCCCTCTCCCTCCTTCTGTCCCTCCCACTCTATCTGAAGATAAATGGGAAAAGAGCCTCTCATGAGCATTAAAAATTTTTTTTTTACATTACTGGAGTAGATGATAATAGATATTAATATCTAAAGTAACAATCATGTCAATTAATAAACTGTTAGAATTTCAAATGTTCATAATTGTTTTCATTAGGAGAGTATCTAATAATGTAAATAAATACAAATATATTCTAAAATAAGAATAAATGATTCTAACAGCATAAGCAGAAATATATCTTTGTATTACTGCGCTTAATTGATCATGTCATTGCTATCAAAAGGATTTCACTCCTATTTGAGGCACTATGTTTTATAATTATAAATGAGGAGGTAAGGTGTGTTTTGTCAAGGGTTAATATTGTCACTACATGGAAAGGAAAACTTAAAGACAATGGGATATTTTATCCAGGGTATAAATTTATTTATAAAATGTGTCTACCAGAGTTGAGTTGTTTCAATTCTCCCCTATCCCTCTGACAGAGGTTAAAAGGAGTTATAATCTTTGAATATATAAAATAATACCGAAAGACAGCTGCATTCAATCACCTTGTAAATTCATTGGCGTCTAGAAAAATAAAGACCAACATACGTCACCTGTTTGTCTTCTCCATGCTGCTTCCCTTTCATTGTCTTTCTGATATACAAGGTGACGTGAGGTATTTAAATAAGTTCTGTTGTAATTTTGTTAAAATTTCCTTTGGCTTTTAATTGTAAAGTACTATTTTAAAATTTAAGAAAACTCTAAATATATATAATCATTTCTTACATAGAAATAAATGTTATCTGCAATTTCAGTACCCAGTAATAGCTGTTTTTGTGGTATATTTTCTATTTGATTATCTATAATTCTCTCTCTCTCTCTCTCTCTCTCTCTCTCTCTCTTTTTTGGCTATAGTGTATTTTTTATTATTTAAATTTATTTTTTATTGTTGGCATTACAGATGTTCCTATATTTTTCCTCCACTTTCCCCCTCTACCCAGCCCTGTCCCCACCTCAGGCCTTCACCACACTCTTGTCTATGTCTTTGGGTTATGCATATATGCATATATTTTCTTTAGCTAATCTCTTCCCCTCCCCTCCACTGCCCCTCTGCTCTAAGATCTGTCAATTTGTTTCATGCATCCATGCCTCTGGACCCATATTGTTCATAAGCTTATTTTCTTCATTAGATTCCATATATAAGTGAGTTCATGTGATATTTGTCTTTCTCTGACTGGCTTATTTCCCTTAGCAGAATGGTCTCTATGTTGTCTCAAAGGGTAAAAGATCCTTCTCTTTTACAGCCGCATGGTGTTCCATTGTGTACATGTACCACAGCTTTTTAATCTACTCATCTGGATGGACACTTGGGCTGTCTCCAGATCTTAGCTATTGTAAATAATACTGCTATGGACATAGGGGTGCATATATTCTTTCTGAACAGTGTTTCAGGCTTCTTAGAATGTATTCCCAGAAGTGAGATCACTGGGTCAAAGGGCAGTTCTATTTTTAATATTTGAGGAAACTACATACTGTTTCTCACTGTGGCTGCACCAGTCTGCATTCCCACTAGCTGTGTACTACTCTTTTTATTATATATTAAATTTTTCGATCCATAAATACCCATTTAACAGAAATGCAAGAGACCCATGGATAAGTATTTCCCAACATCTAGTCTTTATTTAATCTTCTAATTATATGTTGTAGACATATATTATGAACTGTTGTATATTTTCTTCCTACTATTGCACTAAATAAAATATATCATTCTTATTTATGTGCACCTAAGTTTATTGGAACCAGAATTTACTCTCCACATTTGAAATTGGTGTATAAGTGCATACATAATAAATAATTAAAATGTATTTGTTGTTGTGAAAATGCCTGCACAAGGGAGTAGTAATGAATTTTGTTAGAACTGTTTATCCTTAAAAAGTTTTTAAAGATAACTATTCTTGATTTAGGGTTTGTTTACTTGCTTTGCTCTGATTAGAATATTGGTTAATGAAGCTGTTTGAATATTTCATTTATCTTTACTTGGATCTCTAAGTCTTAGAGCTCACACCAGTGAGATGGGGTTTATCCATCCTTCCCCACTTCTGTCCTCACAGTGGAAGTCCTTGCAAACAGAAACGTAAGCTGAAGCATAATGAACTATCCATTCTTCCCTAAGGTCATGGTCTCTAATTCATATACAAATCTATATATACCTACAGATTCATAACAAAACCTACTTTTCTGATACTTATGACCTCAATCTCTTTCAAAAGTATGTAAGCTTTTCTGAACAACCCCTCAATGATAGCAAATGTCATTGTTTTCTTTACCTTTTACTACTTCTTCTTTGTTCCCCGACCCCAGTATAAGAGTGAACAGATAGCTTGTTATGTCTCACTTTAATTTAGTTTGGAAAATGTAGACAAGGTTTTCACTTATCCTTTTCAAACCATTCACATCTTACCCCACTCAAATTGCATCTTCCCGAATTGTCTGATATCCCTCTCATTTTTGTCTGAATAGCAGTGCCAGAAATTTTGTGATAGGGAAGTTAGCAGGCATGAGACATTAATAGTATATAAAATATTTTCTGTATTTCAAAGAGTCAAAATAAATTATGTTTACCTAAATTATGAAGTTACTTTGTTAAACAACTCAGAGACCAGACCATGCAGATCTCAGGCAGAGTTGAGGGGAACAGAGAGGGGTATGGAGGGGAGGGTAGAGGAGGAGGGAGAGAAAGGGGAGGATGAGTTGTGAGTAACCAGAGCTCTTGATATGAGATTCTTGATGAGCAGCCCTGTCCCTTCTTGGAAAAAGATGAATTAAATAATGTGTTTTTTGTTTTTGTTTTTCATTAAGATATTATACGACTATTTTATTAGGCATATCAAAGTAAACAAAACAAAGGAAGCTCTTCTTTAAGTTAAAGCAAAAGGAGAGTCTAGTGGAATCATGTGGACTTCTACAGAAACTCTTTCTTGTTAGATTTTCTGAACTGTGTTGTTCTCATTGAAAATGATTGGTGTTAGTAGTAAAAATGCAAAAATGAGATGTGATCATAAGATGTGTCTCAGCTGTGCCAGGCACACAGTAGACACATTACATAATGACCAAATTCAAGTTCCCCTTCTGTTTTAGGTGAAAAAGTTACGACTGAGAAATGATTTTTATTAAGTTCAAAGAGGATTTACCATAAGTGTTTCAATATTATCTCTTTTGAAGGAGTTGTTTTTTCCTGTTTAAAATTTTTAAGACATATCATTTTATAACTAGCTAAGGGAAGTAATGCATTTGAGATATGAACTCTCTAACTTTCTTCATGCATTACTTCCCTTACCTAGTTATAGAGTGATTGGGTTAGTGTTGAATCCCTTGAAGTAGATTCCTACATGTACAAATTTCAGGAGAGAATTGAGAAGGTATAAAAAAACCTAAATGGAATTCACCGGGTAGTATTATTTATTTTAAATGTTTTGGATTTTAAATGTAAACGCTTTGATACAAGAGCAGTCAAATCCTATGATTTAGTTTATTAAAAAAAAACAACAGAAAAATGACTAACGAGAAGCATAGCACAGACATTTGGTCTTAGATATAAGCAAATCATGTCTCTCTAGGATTCAACTGTTTTTCTGGCTCAGTAGTTTTAATATTTAAAAAAAAGATGGCAAAGGTGGGGTAGTTATGACTTGAAAACTAAAGCTCCGAATATATAAGCTGACACACAAAGCACCGACAGAGCAAAGCGTGTACCCGGAGTATCATGAATTGCACAGTAATCGAATGTTAATGAGTGGCACGTTAGTATGGAAATAATGACTCACCACTGTGCATTTTGTTTGTTTGTTTTTATTCTGCAGGATAAAGTAAAGCATTTACAGAAGGCTTTTGCTTCAAGAGTAGATAAATCCACACAGACTGAAGTTCTAGGCTATGATGTAAGTAGCTATATAACATCATTTTTCTCTTCTTTATTGGTATTCCAACTTCCATGACTTATTTGCCTCTGCTGCTAATGTGTCCATGCATTGATTTAAAAGAATTTAGTGGTGTACCATTCATCTTTTGCTCTTAAATAATCCCCAAATACCCTCTGGAACTGAAAAAGATAATTACAGTCACTGACTAGCATACCAGTGTTTTATTATTATTATTTTTAAACCAACATCTCTAATGTAGTCTTTTGAGTTAGTTCATTTGCAGACATGGGGATGATACATATTACAATACTAGGCCAATTTATTTTTAAGAAAGCACTAATTTATTTATTAACAGTTTAATAAAGTTTGCAGTCACCAAAGCCAAGCACATCATTTTTATAATCTGGCACATAAAAGGAAACACGACTTAGCAGAGGCATTTACAATAATATTTTAGCTCCTGGGCTTTAGTGCAGGCTGCAGAAAGTAATTTAATTGAAAGTTAACATTTTTTTCTTAGTGTCAAATACTTGTTGACTGTCAAAATACGATTGTAAAACATGTTTGAATAGAAGATTGCTTCTAGTAACACTGGATGATTTTGGATAACTTTGATTCAAATACCAATTTTTTCTTGAATGCAGCTCTGAAATTTTCATTTTGATGAAAAAAATAGTGGAATTAACGATCTTATAGGTAACATTTGTTAGAACTCTCTCTTCTATTTAAAAACATTTATTATAGAATTTTTAGTACTTCATGACAAGTATAAATAGAATAGAGATAATTTTAAGTTATTTTTATGAAGGTATATAATGGTAAAATGTTTAATTGTATTGTCCTCATTATATTAAACAACATAAATGTGGATATGACTTTTGTGCTGCCTTGCAAACTATATTAATACATTTATTATAAAATTACTTATCTGTATTAGGAAATAAACTAAAGTTTTGAATTTCAGCACAAATTGTTTTTCAATATTTATATGCAGTAGTTTTTAATTTAAAAACATCAAAAGCTATGCTTTTATTTTGAATTTTTGTTACATTTAATGTTTTCTAGAAACCTGAATCTTCTAGATATCAATAGTGTGACTATAATACTTCTTAAATACCAATGTTAAGTATTATTTACGCGATAATGTTTCATATTTTAAGAAAGAAAGGATTTCTATTAAGTTCAAAGAAGATTTTCCATAAGTATTTCAATAGTATTATTTTCCTTTGGAGGAGTTCTTTGTTCCTGTTTAAAAGTTTTAAATACATATTATTTTTATATCAGTCCCTAAGATATAAATCTATTATGTATTTTACCAATAATAACCTATATATTTTAAATCTTCAAGCCAGAGAATTATCCAGTAAGTAATAAATCCAGAGTTGGCATTACATCTTATTACAATGTAACAATATCATACAACACAGAAACAATACGTTAACTTAGAATCCTACTCCAGAGCCCTACATTTTTGAGTAAGTTGACTGAGTCCCAGAAAAGTGAAGTCATTTGTTTGCTAACATGTGATCTTTGTGGAAGTGGTAAAAGTCTAAAAGTAATGTATTCTCAAAAAGGGGGGAAAGTGGTAAAAGTCTAGGTTTTTATTAAAAACAATGTGTTCTTTAAAAACATGAAAACACTTTTTAATTTGGACAAATATTTCATTTTACCTGCTATAAGGAAACTATTTTTGGGAGACTGAACTCTAAATGTGGAAAGGACTGAACATAAGCATAGCATGTAAGAGATCTGTAACACTGTTAGGACTGCTTGTGTGGAAGAGTTGCTAAGAAATGAATGGCACCTGGCGGGGTCGGGGGGTTAACTAAGCTGAAGCTACTAACAGCCTCTTATGTACTTGCCCATCTATGCCTCATAATTTTCTTTTTTCTACATACATTGTTTATATCAGTGCTATTTAGTTCTCTAACCATATAAACAAAAATTAAAATTAAAGCCACGGACATAGTTAATCTTTATTAGTAAATCCTCATTGTCCCTAGCTTTTTTTCATATCTGACAGTGAGAGCTTAATGTATTTTACTGAATTGAATTATGTTAAAGAATAATGATTTCTTGGTAGTGAGTCCCTCAAGGATCCCCTTGTACAAATGTCTGTGATTATTTTGTAGTTGTTAACATAGAATAATAATCTTTTTAAAAGACTTCATGTTCACAATTGTTGGTGATATATTCTAAGATATAATCATCACAATCAGAAAATTAAGTACCAAATATATACATATAGAACTTTATGCCAGTAATGAGAGGTAACTATAGTAATGAACTTTAGAGCATTTTGTATGGAAAAACCTGGGGAGGAAAAATTTTAAATAAATTAGAAATAAAGAATCATTTTAAAAGTGATGGCATGTGACTATTTGGAGTGTATGATTCATTAGTAGTGTAATTTTTCCATGACTAGGATATATTTTCTATGCTTTTCAATATCTATTTATAAATACTTTCTTATATTTTTATATGCAATAAGAATCATCTCTCGTTTAATGTGTAATATTTTGCTTGCATTATTCCTTAGGAAATATAGTTTGACATCATTTTTCACAAATATATTATACATACCTACATAGAACATTATATACCGCTTTATAATTTGCAATATAATATTTGTCAGAAAAAATAATGAAAAATCTTGTAGAAATCGTGCATGTTATGGATGATTCTTATACTACTTTTTTCCTTCCTAAAGCTGCCAAAACAAGCTACCAATTTTTCTTTATGGATCATTACGAATCATGTTTCAGTGATATGAGTGTCAGAATCTAAAAGACTACAAGTATGCATCAATATAATTTCCTTGGGAAGACACTGTTGGCTACACATTTTGCTTCGGGTAGAAAACAGAATCCCTCTAAGACATTAATTATAGTGAAAACTATTAAAAGACATTTCTAAAAACTCACTACAGTGAGTAAGTTCAAAGATTTGTACAATAAACTACTCTATCCTGTAACAGGTTTATCAGGAGACTTGAAACTGATGTTAGCATACAGTGTGCTCCAATTTGAAATGCACATGGCAAGAATTATTGAAAAATAAATTCAGAGCATCTCAGCAAAGGCCTGTAAACACAATAGTTCTTGTGATGAAGGAGATTGTTAAATAAATGATGAATGTGTCTTAAATAATCAATGCCAATTTAACCTCTTTCACCTTCCTCTGTCTGCACAGGCTTAGTTTATTGAAAGATCAAAGAATAATTTCTTAGGTGTCACTTCTGTTATTAAAACAGGGTAGAAGATGAATAGATGTAGTCAAGTAGCAATGTTGCCGATTGTAAGATTACATCAAGAGGTAGGGAAGATTTTTCTGATTACATCAACTATATAAATAGATGCTTCAACATAGTACATACACTGTCTGTAAATATTTTATAGTCTAAACTACAGCAAACAACATTTTGGTTAAAATCATTGTGAATGAGTAACCAAATACTGCAGTGAAGATTTTATAGTCTGACACTGAGAAAACTCAGGTAACTTGGCATCTTCACGGAGAGTTTTTTTTTTTTACTTTGATGTTTACTTTGATGTTCTGCAGAATATTGTCTTTGTAAATTTGGCTAATTGACTAGGAGTCCATGTTCTTTTAGTCCCTGAACATAGAACAGTTACAGGGTCTCTAAGTTGCTCTTTTAGGCAAAAGTACTAACAGTTTAAATGGGTTCTTCTTTTCATTAGTGAATGTTTTACACTTACATGGAATAAGTGTTTACTAGTTTTGAATTTGCAATGTTTTGTTTATATTTTCTTTGAGTTTTAAAGTTATTGGGTATATCATCAAATATTAACTTATTAAGCACTGTTAGTCTAAATACCATGAGTGGTTTTCATTTGCCTCTTTAAAATGGACTGAATTGCGGCATCACCCATATTTTGTCTCAATCACGTATGCATGAAGCATAAGTCAGTTTGGAAATGTATGATCTAAACAGTGTGTGTTTTTCAAATATTTTAGCACATTTTCTAATAGGTGGGGTTTGCTTTATAAGTGCAGTTTTCTTCCTATATGCTAGGAAAATAATAATACTGATATTCTGAATACACATTTTGAAAAACTGATCAAAGCAGATATCTGTGTATTCTCAATCTATGCTTTTTTTCTTGTATTTAATTTAGGACATCCTCCTGGTACAGTTAGTAGTGTGCAGGGAGTTCTAGCTAACATGAAAATAGTTTATCATGTAAGTAATAAAAATTATTTGTTTTTACTGTAATTATTTTATTAGCTATTAGACAAAGCTACTTTCTGTTATGCTAATGTATGGTTTCAGCCTATGGCTTAAGTCCAATTCTGAGAGTTGAATAAACTATCAGTTAAGCTCTATCTACCTGCTAATAAACTGTAGTTTCCATTGGGAATCATTTGTTCCTATCATCTCCTTTCAATACTTCTGATCATGCATCAACGTGCCCCAGCATTTAGTAGATGACTGCATCCCCCACATGCTTGATTCATGTTTGTTTATCTCACGTGTTTCTGTTTATTTTCCACAAATTAAAAAGTTGGTCTAAACACTGAATGACATAATTCAAGTTTTATTTTGAACTGCAGTTTTTCATATTACATTTAGGACAAGTTCAGACAAGAGTATTGATTAAAAACAAGTGCAGGAAACATGACCATTTGCTCCAGGTGCTTGTTAACATTAATGGAGAGTCGCAGCTCCTCCAGTATTGCCGTTCTTGGGGCATCACTCGCAAAATCCTTCCATGCATTTATTCAACAAATGTTACTAAGTGCCCCTGGAAGCCAGACCTCACTCTTTGTACTTGGGATGCATCCTTTAGTCACACAACAAATAATTTCCACACAAAGCTTGCATTTTGTGAGGGGTGACTTACAATAAAAAATAAGTAAATTATTCAGTGCATTAGAAGGTGCTAAGTGCCATGTAGAAAAGAAAAATAGCACCGTGAATGTAGGGATGGGCGTCAGGACCCTGATCAGAAATTGTAAACAGGATGATCTGGGCCGGTCTGAGGATGAGATGTGAG